ATATGCACCTTATATTTCTGTGTGTATGCATACACATGGGTAGAGACTGTCTCAGTTCTAAGCTGCTCCCTTAAGACAGCAAAATACAAAGCAAAGGAAGCCGTTTTATATAAAACAAGACTTAACACAGGAAGTAACCATGATTTCTGCCTGAAGTGACTCTGTAGGAGCAGCCTAGAAATGCCCAGTTTCATGTCCTAAGAAATTTCCTAAATTGTGTGTCCGTATTTTTAATAGAATATCTCCAAATGCTGTTAACTGTTAAATGCTTGTATATGTCATTAAGATCTAATAAAAGAACTGGACAGTTACTGGGCTGTTTTTCAAGCAGAGCTGTTAAAATGTGTTATTTCACACAATGCTTGCTTACTTACCTTGGGATGTACTTACACTACAGCTCAAGATAGCATACTTAGGCAGTTTAAAATGAGCTAGGTAGCAACAGCTAAGCAGCCTGTAAAGACTGCAAAACCATCCTGATTCTTCATACTAGACTAGCACAATTTAACTTTCTAGCTAAGCCCTTAGGTAGTTAGGCTATGCTTAGCTCTCTACTGTGTTTGCTCCCTGACTATCAGTATTCACCCTGGCTAGTTTAAAACCAGCTAGGGCATGTCTGTGGGAGTTGTAGTCTCACCTTTACACAGTAGTGATTGACAGGCTGCATATAGGTAGAATGCCAAAGGAAAACAGACTTGGTACAACTGCACAATGAATTTGATTTTAAACAAAGAGTCCTGAAGCTGTGCACTTGACTGAGCCTGCAGGGCTGAACTCCTAAACTCCATTGCTGTACAGTGAGGAGAAAATCCCTGAGCAGCTTTCCAACAATGGAATCAAGAAACTATTTTTTTTTTAAAGAATGCCTCTGGATGTCTCTTACCCCATTGTCTCAGACTCTTTCTTCTATCTACATGAAAAAAAGTGTGTTTGTCTGCCTCTCTGTTGTAGAGAGACATACACATAGAGCTGGAAACGTTGCCTGTCATCATAGAGATCCTTGCAACAATATGGCTGTGTTAACAGTTCAGGCCAGACAAAGTAAGCAGGCATACTGTCTCTGATGTTGTCGCGTCATAGGTGTAATGTTGCAGATGGGTATGGTGACAGACTGACTTGCGTAAAACATGTTTTAAGCATATGCAGCAGCAAGTACATAGTGTGCAATACAAAACAATATGATTTCTTAGTCTATAGTGTCACAAAATGGGGTGGCTAGCATTTGGGATAATATTAGTTTATGAAGTTTTTCCAAACTCTTGAAAGTTGAATTCCTTTTGAAGAGAAGTTAAATGGAAATGCAGTCTCATGCACAGCAAGCAGCTACTCATATTAGGGTGCCTAGATCTTCATCTGACACTCTCACACTCTGGTGAGACACTTGAAATGTCGCCACTACACTATATGCATCTGAGTTAGAACCCACTGAAATGAAAGGGGCAATTCACAATTTAAATCTCATTTCAGGCTATTCAGAAGCTTAAGCCAGTATAGCTACATCACTTATACTTGAGTCACGATTGCAAAGATTTATTGGCAGCCATAAATTTAGAGATTTAAGGCATATCCACCCAGGGAAATTAGTGCTTAGAAGGAAGGGTGTGGATTTTTAATATTATCATTTTTGTGTGCTAACTCCTGTAGAGATATTTTTAACACATGCTGAAACTCTTCCAGTATAAACTAATGTAACTTTACTCTGTAACTAGATGGAATATGTTACTTTATTTCCAGAGCACACAAAATAGGAGGGAGTTACATGAGGTGATGTGCTAGAAGTTCACATTACTGCACATTCACAGTTACTGCACACTGGCTTTCTTACGTAAGGAACCATTGGAACCTTTGATTTTAAGTATAAGTTTAGACACTGAAAAATAGCCAGAAGACATATCTGTGCATCTGCTGCTAGTCTGGTATGCTCCACATCTTGAGAAGTACCATCTAACCAGCTGACATCATTAGCATACATATGCTGCCTCCCTTTCCCATCCCAAATGTGCAGTGCTGTAAATCATGGCAAGCTGAAATTCTGATCTCTTTAATGTTGTTTGAAATCACTAAATCACTGCCTCTTTTCTTTGTGTCCACACAAACATTAGGTAAAGGCACCAGTGTTCAGAAATATACTTAGTAGTTTGATCCATTTCCCGGGCTACAGTCTGTGCTTGGAAGGCAAAGATCCAGTGGCTCCATTTATTGACCGAAGATGGAGAGGGCAGCTTGCTCCGTAAGTGTTCAGTGGTTGAATAATTTAAAACAAATGTACAAACAAAACCAACAAAACCCCTTGCACACTTAAGTAGAGATGACTGCAATTTGCTCCTACTTGTATTTCCCTTGAAATTAAGAGATTGCAGCTGTTGTGGAGTATGGTTGCCCATCTGCTTCTTACAGGGTGGATGTTGCACATTCCTACATCCCTGTGCTATATGATTTGCAGTGGTTTCCGGGAAAGAGATGAGAAATATTTCATTCTCTTATAGAAGTTATGAAGATTTCAGTGACTCCTGTGTTACTTCAGCAGAAGCTGTTTCCTTTTAGTCCCATGCAGTTGCATCTGGTTAGATTGCTTTTACCGCTCATTCAAGGGTTTAAAGGGCCTGAACCAGGATACCACATTTTCAGTGCAGTGATTTCTTAGTTGAACTTTTTTCTGGCATCACAATTTGGGCTTCTGATTCAGCAAATACTTTAAAAAAAATCTGTGTGTTTTGCCACACCATGCATTTCTTGGAGTCTTGTAGCTGAATTAAAGACTGCAGGCATCAGCCTAGGTAGTTGTTTTCACAGATTTTTGCTGCATTAACAAGCTAACTTTAGACCATGGGCTTTTCATATGGCGTGTGCTCTGTGGTTGCTGGTAACCGAGTTCCACCACACGCAGACAGTAATCAAAGATATTTAAGAGTGATAAAGTGGATTTCATTCCTAGTTTTGTACAGTTTCAAAAGCATATTCTTTTCATTTCCACAATAAAATAAGAATTTTGGAGCCTTTTTTTTCTGTTCTTTATATTTTCAGCAGTTAAAACTGTCTCTAGTACATGAAAACCTCTTATAAGTGCCTTCTTATAGGTTGCCTGTTATTCTGTAACAAGAACTTATGTGATGCCTGTGCTGCTTTAAAATCGATTTAGATGTCAACAACATGTGTTTGCAAAGAGTCTTGTAATTAACAAAAAATGAGAAATACATCCCCTCTGTTTCAACCTGCACTGATTGACAGTGTTGCTAATAGAGAAGATAGAATATTTCCCAGCTGTCTTCTCAGTAGTTGCATTGCCTCTGCAAGGTTACCAGGAATAAATGCTCATTTATTTCAGCAAAGTCAGCAAATGTAAGTCAAGGACATGCAAGAGGCACAATCTGTGGAATAAAAAGGGCTATTTCGCTGGGTTCCCATTGTGCCTATAACTATACCCTAATAGGATGAACAGCTTATGCTAATAAAGTTAGATCATGAGAATAAGTGCCCACCTGTGCTGAATGAAACACAAATCCATCTGGATGGAGCAACAGTCTGACATGTAAAGAGCCAGCCAGTGGAACTAGCCATCCGCTCAATTCAAATGCAACTTCTCAGTAACAGATTGATTAGTGCTGAGCAAGTATCTCGGGTTACCGCACCGCATCTCAAACATTTCACTCTCGTTACTTGATATGACTGAAAGCACTGGGAAGAGATGACTTTAAACTTACCTTGGCAGTAAATTGTATGTCACAGAAGGTTAATGAAGCATCTCTCTATAGGCTTTGCTGTAGTGGGTAGCCATACTGTGGCTCCTTGTGTTCCACAGCACAGCTCACAGGGCTTAGATGAGGTCCTGGAAGACAGCCGATCTCAGCATGCAGTCCTCTGGTTTGATCCCAGCTGTTAAGCAGTGTTACATATTGTTAATTGTATTTATTTCTGTAAATATACCTCTGTATTTAAAATTAGGCAGCAGCAGGCGACTCTGGCACCCATGATTACATCTGAGGTCAGGATTCTTACAAGTTGCCAAAAATGGTCTTATAAAAAATATGCCCTTCAGGACTTGCCATATATATAGTTTAAGGAAATAACCTTAATGGCACAATATGGGTTGTTTTGTTTTGGTTTTTTTTTTGTTTGGTTGGGGTTTTTTGTTTTGTTTTGTTGTTTTTTTTTCCCAAAAAAAGAACTTTTTTTTGTCTTTAGCCACCTTACAGGTTGAGAAAAGTAATAGTGGAGTATAAGGTGGTTGTGAAATCAAATAGCAGTCCTCAGGGATAGCTTTCAAAGGACTCAGTTCTACCCATTCTCTCACTGATTGCCTTAATGAGGTCTTCCAAAGCTTTAAAATAAAGATGTAATAGTGAAAAATTTGAATGGTCTGCCTACTTTAAATTTAAAATGGGGGAAAAAATGAAGGAAGACTGTTCTTGCAAAATATATGTTTGTGCCAGCATAGGTTTTGAAACATTCACATGGTCATTCTAATTTTCTTCCTTTATTGGAGAATTCAAATTGAAATTGCTGATTCTAAAATTTTCCATATTTGCCTAAAATCTCTTTAGTGACTTTTGAAAGGTAAAAAGTGGTAGTCTTCCCCTTTGTTCATTCTACTCCTTTACACATACTTTCTGTAATGAAAACTTTTTCACTCTTTAGGAAATGAGCTTGCTCCCCCCACTCCCAATAAAAGTAGTTTACAAGGTCAGGCATTTACAAGTGGCCAATCCTTTTTATGACAAGTACATAAGAAAGTTTTATTAAAGGCAGCAAATTACCATTTCTTGCCCAGACATTAGGAAATGAACATAAAGTATCAAACTGGTTTCCTATATATGTAAGTGAAAAAAAAATTATAATTGCATGTATAAGTGTGGGGATTTTGTGGAATTTGTAGTGTGCATGTTTGATTGTGCAATCAGAGAAGTAGAGAGGAGAGAGATTTTTAAAAAAAAAAGCATCAGAAAAAAGGATCAGAACTGCTCTTGTACTTCTTAAATTATATCCTGTATTTTGGCTTTTAGAGGTCAATCTTCTCTTCAGATACCTCAAGTTGTGTATGAAGATCCTGAAGTTAGTGGAAGGAATCGCTACAAATATTTTGCACGGTAAGGAATGAACTAATTTGAAACAGATTTCAGAAGCTTGCTTTTGTGCAGTTTGAAAAGCCCCTAAATAAATGCCAGAGCCTTATTTTTTCTGTCTTTTCTGTCAGTTCTTTGGTCGCTGCTATGGAAAATGTAAATAGTAACCAAATCTTAAATCACAAGGTCTTTTTAAATTCATGCTATGCCAGAATTTTCAAGTAATGAGTTACCATATGAGCAAATATACCAGGCATTCTGTACTTATTAATTATTTGTAGAAAGCTTTGGGCTGTAGAACCTCCTACACAAAGGAAGAAGATGCTCACAAAGACACTGTGGTTCTCCAGACTCCTGAAACGCTGCCTTCTTGAGAAGGAAACATTTAACTCCCACTTTCTGCCAGCAGCAGAAAGTAAGCAAGGGGAATCCCTGATTAACTTTTCATCAATGTCCTCTACTGCAGGACTATTCTGCTCCTTCTAGAATGACACTGCAGGTCAGCAATGGACTCAACATCTGAGCCAACAGACAGTGTACAAACGTTCTCAACTTAGTCATATACACTTTGACTTGCATTCACTATTATAGTCAGCAGCTATTGGCCAATATGTCCACTTTAAATATAAAAAAATTTGCCAGGTTTAATAAATTGAAGTTCTTTATGGCTCCTTTAACAACAACAAAGAAAGGACAAAGATGATGTTATCTTCTGCAATTTTAAATTAAGCTTTAAATCTCTCAAAGGCTAAGGGAAATTGATAGTGAGCTGCAATATGAAAACTATAAAAACGCCTAAGAAGGAATTATTAGTATGTCATTAAGCCCATGTCACTTGCAAGATAATTCATAAAATACTGCAAAAAAGGAAACAATCGAATTGGATAAGTCCAAACCAGCTTACCTGACCAGCTGATTGTAGGAATTAATTTCAGGATTTCAAGAAGGTATTAAAAAAACCCTCAGAGCCCTAAGTGGAAAAAAGTAAACTAATTAGTGACACATACACAGAATGTGAGCACATTTAAAACTAACTTCTTTAAATTATTGTCTTGTTTTGCAATTCCACTTTCTGTTCTGACAGAAGAAGAACACTCAGCCTTACACTCAGCCTTACTGGTGAAACTTTCTCTGTTACTCCTTATCTATGAAACAATTACTTAATATTCAGGCACAGTTCTTAAACATGCAACTACAGAACATGAGTTGTGGAAAATCAGTCTAACTCCACTGAAATTAGTGGACTGCAGTTTTTCTGAACTGTAATGATCTTGTATGTCCATGGTTGCTGTCTTACAACTGCATTCTCTCTTTTCAGACCTCTCATCCCTTCTAATAAGCTGCTTCCACTAAACACTGCTTACTCAATGGCAAAGTAAGTAGTGAGTTCTGGACCATTACTGTTGTAACAGGTCACATGTAATCAGAAAAAGATTGACAAACTATTTAGCTGGCGACCAGTATTTTCATAATCAACCAACAGTAGAAACTTGTTAAGAGGTAAGGGTTTGTTTACCATTGAGAATTCCTGAGGAAACAGGTGATAGACTGTTTCAGAATTTGCTTGCAGTATATAAGTAGCGCTTTGTGGGTAAAGGACGTAAGCTTCAAGTATGTTATGATTATGCGGCCTGAAACAGAAAGCCAAGTATCTCTGAATCCTAGAAGAGAAACAGAAGATTCTCCAATACAGCAATATTGCTGGAAATTTTTCTGATATTTTATTACAATTTCTGTGATAGCTGCAATACTGTTCAGTGGTGTAGAGCATCCATGGAGTAGTCTAATGTGGTTTTCAGTGGGGATCAAATTTTGAGGGGACATAGGAAGATTCAGTCCTAGTAGTCAATGAAAGTTGCATGTGCTTACATCAGAATTGAATTTTTGTTCTGGAATTGTTGGAAAGAAATGCGTAAGCTAAACTGAAGCAGTCCTACTTCATTTTATACTCAACTATGTTACTTTTTGCCTATTAAAAGCAAGGTTTTAGAATGGATCCATAGGGAAGAATTGTATGTAGTAACTTAGGAGAGCTGAAACCAGAAGATTTCTGGATTGTTTACCTAAGGAAGGAGGTTTCAGAGGACTCAGTGTAGCCTTAGTAAAGATATTGGTGTTAATATCAATGGAAGAAATGTTAAGATGAAACAAAACACATTTCAACATTTTGATATCTTGCCTTTGACTTAGTGTTGTGTTTCTGGTTTTGTTTGGTTTTTTTGTTTTGTTTTGTTTTGTTTTGTTTTTTTAATGAATGTGACAAATGCTCTTCCATCTTGCATCTCATTTTAGGATGGAGCCCTATGTCTATTCAGCTACAAGAGAAAGCAAAGTCTTTGGTCCCAAGTTTCGAACTTTGGGCACACAGACAGATTACAGAGATGGTGAAGCCCAGACAGATCCCTACTCCCCTGAATATGTTCTTCGCAGTGGCTCAGTCCCTGAACTTCTGACACTTGCTACACTCACTTGGGGTGAGTTGTGAAATCAAGATAAATGATAATAATCATATTGCCTCTTTAGCAGGAGTTTGGTTTTTTTCAATGCCAGGTTTCAAGTCTATTGCAAGCTTTGGCAGCCTTTTATTGTCTTCCTTTTACCTATTTCTAAAATAGGTATGATATTTTCCTACTTAATAGCACTGTTCTGGGGCATTTCATAAAGAATTTTTATATCATTCAATATAAAAAGGTCATATATTTTACAAATACAAACTAGGAGCAGTTTTGCCATTTACCTACAGTTCTTCAACTGTTCTGAGTTAGACATCAGGTAAAAAACCAGTATGAACATTGCTGCCCCAGAATATAACCGTGATCCTTATCTCCCAGTGTCCCACCTGGAATAATGATGGACACTGGGCATGCCAAAAAAAAGTGCTCATTCTCTGAAAGTGTCTTCTTGAAAAAGTTTTTCCTCCTTTGAAGCCTGCAGTAGAGGATTGAAGTGCTAGTGGTTATGTCAACGAAGCTATAGCAACAGCAGGTCCTACCATTCCTCATAGTAGATAATTTTACTGGCCTTAGAAATATTTACTTCTGGCTATTGACAATTCTGATTGTGATTAATATACAGGCTTGTGGCCATCCAGCCCTCCAGTACTTTTTGGCGGTGGTTATTTGCTGGATTCACCATTCTCCTAAAGAGCTACTGCTTCTTGTCTCTGTAAGGTCGGGGACTACCAGCAGGACTAGCTGAGGTGGAGATGATTGAACGTGCCCGGAAAAAACGTGCATGGGAATCAACTCTTCCAGGAATGGACAGTGCCTCAAAAACTGCAAAGAGGTGGAAAATGATAGAAGAGATGGAGAGGAAGGAGTGGGCCTTTAGAGAACAAGAAATAGAAAAGTAGGAGTCCAATTTTACCCTTTATTTCTTTTAATTATTGGCTGAACAGAGAAGGAACAAGAAAATTTAGGGGATTGACTGAGGAGTACAAGCCATTTATTTCTGTGAAAATCCCCTGATTTTGGGAAGGGATATTTTTGTTAAATTTAATATGAGTCTGCTACCACAATACTTTTCACCAGTGCTAAACTTACTGTTTAAAATCAAAGATTAAATATGATATACGCAATATGAACTATGTGTAAAGTAGTCAGTTCATCACAGAATCACAGAATCACAGAATC